CAATATACCTGTAAATTGTGTACCTGAAAATTTACTTATAGTAAATTTTGGACCGATCCTCCTAAGAATTTGCAAAGATTTTGGTTTCAATAAAACTTGTTATGTCGAATATCTTATCAAAGCCTTATATAAAGGCTTTAAGTCGAATTTTGTTATGAGCGTTATAGTTATTTTCAGAGGGGATCTTATATCGGGGGTAGGGTCAATTATGAACCGATCATGAAATTAGGCAGAGATATTTCAGTTCCCCTAAAACTTGTTTATGTCGAATTTCGTTGCTTTACTAACATTTTGAAGCAAGTTATATGTGTTATAGTAATTTTCGAAGGGGACCCTGTATACGGGTAGGGTCAATTATGGACCGATCATCATAAAATTTTGTGGAGAGATTTATGTTCCTATAGAACTTCTTTATGTTGACTTTCATTGATTTGCTATCATTTTGAAGCAATTTATGAGCGTTATAGTTGTTTTCTGAGAGGGACCTAATATGGAAGGGAAAGGTCAATTATGACCCGATCTCCATAAAATTTGGCAGTGCAATTTAAGTTCCCCTAAAACTTGTTTATATCGAATTTCGTTACTTTGCTATCATTTTGAATCAATTTATGAGCGTTATAGTCGTTTTCTGAGAGGTTCCTTATATGGGGGTAGGGTCAATCAAGAACCGATCCTCATAAAATTTGGGAAAGAGATTTTGTTTCATATAAAACTTGTTTATGTGGAATTTCATTGGCATACTGATGTTTTTAAACCAGCTATAACTGTTTACTCTGTTTTTCGGGGGACCAATTGTATGGGAGCTATGCGAAAACTTGGACCGATTTTTAATACCATTTTGAAAATCGATCCATTTTCAATACCCTGCAAACTGCATCATTAAAAAATCTTTATGCAAAATTTCAGCTTTTTAGCTCATCTCGTTTGAACTTTATCATGCTTTCAACAGATAGACGGACGGACATGGCTAGATCGCCTCAGAATTTAATAAGGACCCTGAATATCATATATACTTTTGTGGATCTATCATCAATATTTCAATGTGTTGCAAAGGGATTGACAAAAACAATATACAACAATATATCTTTTACAAAAGTTACAAAATTGGAAAAATTCGTCTCATGGACGTAATAATATATAAAACAATTCATAAAGCCGATCTTGAAAATAATTGAAACCGTTTTTTTTTTCTTCTGATAGACTTAACTATACAGAAAAAATAATTCATAACTGAAATGAATTTTGTAGTAAATAGTATGAATCAAGTTTGACTTTTCCCCTAAGCATTTTCATTGTAAGTAAGAAACATTCATAAATAGTACAATATAGTGTTTTCAAGATTTGCTAATATTTCATTAAAATTCTAGTTATTGAAAAACAAGGTATGAAATGAATAATAAGCATAAGGGTGTCCCGGTTAGGTTAGTTGGTAGAGTTCTAGGCTGACCGTCTGATTCCCACCAAACGAGTAGGTTAATTGGTAGAGTTCAAATGTGTCATTCCGGATATCGTGGATTATATTCTCACAAGAGGGCTAGCTGAATTTCTTCGGGTCTGATGAGTTAAAAATCTGCATAAAAACCTGTAAATTTAAAATTTTAAAAGTTTATATTAAAAAATGTTTAAAAAACTAAAACTTTTTTCAACTCTAGTTTTACTAAATTGCAAATGACAAAAAATGTTGTAAATTTAAATGTCTATATAACACCAATTATAGAACATCAATTATATACTACTCCTTAGCATCGCCGTTAAAATACACCTAAGTGTCATACACCACAAATATGATGATCTTCAAGGAGTTTTAAAGCTTAGAAAACCCAAAATGTACGCAATAAACAATGTGTTCTTTTTTTCCTGTTGCTGCTTTTTACAATTCTTTGGATTTTTAACGAAATATTTATGTATAAAAATTTTGAAAGCGAAACCCTCTTTAAGAAATTCTACTTTATTTTTTTGGAATTTTAATGAGAATAAGTATTATAAGCTGAAAAAAACACAAAACATCAAACAGATTGTTTTAGGGATACCTATACAAAGGCAACTAAATATACAGCCGGTCTACAGAGACACACATGTGAAATCATTTGAAAATTACATTTTAGGTTTTGTAAAAATTTAGCGTATATAAAATAATATTGATGTTGTTTTCATTATTGTTGTAGTTGTTATTTTTGTATATTTAGCAAACAAGTATTATGTATCTGTATCTTATGGATGGCTGAGTTAAAATATGTTTGTGGTTCTTTTTTTTTTTGTTTTGTTCTGCTACTGCCAGATCCAGACGCTGCTGCTTTTCGATGATGGTGATGACTTTATGGCATTATTTCATCGTGTCGTGCCATCGTTGTAGTCGTTGACTGCAAAAAAAGCCAGACAGTAACAACGTGTCCAAAATGCCCTTGATCATTTATATACCAAGAGTTTTTTTTTGGTTTTCTTTCTCTGTTGTTTGTTATTGTTCGAGTTTGGATCTTTTTTGCAAATGTTTTTTGTGTAATTTTTTTTTGTGCTCCAACTAAAACTAAACCATTTGAAACCCAGCATGAAATCACTAAAATACCGAATATAGCAAAACTGCTCATTTGAAATGTAACATTTATTTATTATTAGCAAAATTTTTGTTTTCTTCTACACCGCCATTTAGACAACATACATATGTACATACATATAATAATTTTGATCTTGATTTTTTTAAGGTTTGATGATATTTGTATAATTTATTTTTGATTACGGCTATTAATATATTTTGTAAAATATCTTCTGTATGTTCCTTCTTTTTGGATTTTACTAAATGATTCATTTACTTACAGCCATACAAATAAATGATTCATTTTCTACCACCTAAAAAGTGTTTTGTTAAAAATGAAGAAAACAATCTAATAATAATTTATTGCCAAGACATATTTCCAGGAATATGCATTTAAAAAATTTTTAAAATGAAATTTTATTTGATTGTATACTCAAAGGATGACAATATTTTTCTTACATTTATACCACAAATTTAGGCGCAGCAAAGAGGTGGGATCAAAACTATAACCTAAAGGTAAAATAACCTAAAAATAGGCTTTTCTGTGATCATTATTGGTCGAGCAGGAGACATACATACAAATGGTGGTAGATTGTTTTATATATGTAAATGTTCTGGAACAGAAACAGAAAATTTTGAAATAGTACTAACTTACAACGAAAATATGTAGTACTTTTTATGTTTAAAAGTACTGAAGTCATTTTCCGCTAGACTATTGACTAGAAACTGATCTAGATTATTGACTTGACTATAGACTATAATGCAGACTAGACTGTAGATTAGACTAAACTAGACAATAGACAAGGCTAGATTATAGACTAGACTATATACTAGAATATAGACTCAACTATAGACTAGACTATAAACCAGACTATAGACTAGACTATAGACTAAACTATAGACTAGACTATAGACCAGACTATAGACTAGACTATATACTAGACTATAGACCAGACTATAGATTAGACTATAGACTAGACTATTGACTAGACTATAGACTAGACTATAGACTAGACTAATAGACTAGACTATAGACTAGACTATAGACTAGATTATAGACTAGACTATAGACTAGACTATAGACTAGACTATAGACTAGACCTATGACTAGACTATAGACTAGACTATAGACTAGACTATAGACTAGACTATAGACTAGACTATAGACTAGACTATAGACTAGACTATAGACTAGACTAGACTAGACTATAGACTAGACTTAGACTAGACTATAGACTAGACTATAGACTTGACTATAGACTAGACTATAGACTAGACTATAGACTAGACTATAGACTAACTATAGACTAGACTATAGACTAGACTATAGACTAGACTATAGACTATAGACTAGACTTAGACTAGACTATAGACTAGACTATAGACTAGACTATAGACTAGACTATAGACTAGACTATAGACTAGACTATAGACTAGACTATAGACTAGACTATAGACTAGACTATAGACTAGACTATAGACTAGACTATAGACTAGACTATAGACTAGAACTATAGACTAGACTATAGACTAGACTATAGACTAGACTATAGACTAGACTATAGACTAGACTATAGACTAGACTATAGGACTAGGACTATAGACTAGACTATAGACTAGACTATAGACTAGACTATAGACTAGACTATAGACTAGACTAGACTAGACTATAGACTAGACTATAGACTAGACTATAGACTAGACTATAGACTAGGACTATAGACTAGACTATAGACTAGACTATAGACTAGACTATAGACTAGACTATAGACTAGACTATAGACTAGACTAAAGACTAGACTATAGACTAGACTATGGACTAGATTATAGACTAGACTATAGACTAGACTATAGACTAGACTATAGACTAGACTATAGACTAGACTATAGACTAGACTATAGACTAGACTATAGACTAGACTATAGACTAGACTATAGACTAGACTATAGACTAGACTATAGGCTAGACTATAGACTAGACTATGGACTAGACTATACACAGAAAAAATTTTAGGAAAAAATCAAGCAATTAAAAAAATGATTAACTTTAAAAAAAATTTTAAACAATTTTTTAATTGAGTCAATTAACTTTTTAATTGAAATTAAAAATTTTCTAGGTTTGTGTGTATGTTTTTACATTTTGTTTTAGTGGTGTATAAAGTAAGCCGTAAGTTACTTAAATTTTAGTACTCAATCTTTTTGAATATGAATACTCGTTGCTATTTATAGCTTATGTTAAGGAAATAAATTTTAAAATGTATAAAATATATATTTTTATAAGTTATTCCGACAACTTTTTCACTTGCTTTATTATTAAAAATAAAAAATAAAAAAATTTTAGCATCAATTAACCATTAATTTATGAATACCCGAAAACTGCATGGTGATTTGCAACATTTACAGCATCACTATTTTTGTTAGAACAAAAGAAAGAACAAAAAGTAAAGAATTAATTCAGTGTTAAAAGTGATCTCAACCAGACAACATCGTCTGCGTCGGTGTTTTTTAAAGTTTTTTTTTTTTGCAAATTTAACGGTAAACGTTTATAAAAAAGTGTGTGTGCAACGTACTAAGTAAAAAAAATATTTGTGTTGTTGTTTGTTGCTGTTTTCATAGCAAGACGTGTGTGTGTACTACACATATATTCGACAAGACGCGGCAGGTGGTTTTGGTGTGTATTATGTTGGTACATTGTTGTTGTGTGTTGCTACATTTGTTTTTGTTATTGCTTGTAAAGGGAGTAGAGGAATAAGATAAAAAAAAAAGTTTGTTTTGGTTTTATAATTATAAAGTGAATAATTTATCAATAGAATTACTTTTTGGATAAAATTACATAGATATTTTCAAATGTTTTAAAGAAAAAATGTATATTATAACTTTTTCTTCATAAATATAGATACATAAAACAATTATTGCAACAGTTTCCGTAAAAAGAATTCTAAATGTTCATTTAAAAATGAACTTTAAATGTTTTTTGTGTATTAATACATTCAATTCTTTAAACAATTTTTTTCTCCACTTGAAAGAACATGCTATACCAAAAGACATTGTTTATAAATGTACATATGAAAATTGCTTCCAAAATTTTTCCGTTAAAGATTCCTTTAAAACACACGTATCGAGACATTTTCGAAATGCTGAAAAAGAAAGTAAAATTGTACCTGAAAGACATTATGAACAATGCCCTGCGACGGATACTGCAAATAACTACATTTCAAATAGCTACAATTACCAAGAAAATATGTTAAGTGTTTATAACTCTGCTGCCAAATTCGTTGCAAAACTTCATTCATTCAATAATTTGTCACGTTCAGACGTAAATAATATACGATATTTTGTCGAAACTTTGATTTTAAATCCCGTGGTTCAATTTATTGAACAATCCCAAAATCCTTACAACAATTCCAATAAAAGTCTAATAAATGTTTTAAAAGATGTTACAATGTTGTTTGAAGGTGTTAATACCGAATCGAAATTAAATAAAGTTTTACAAGAAAGAGATCTTATTGGAAATGTTCATTCGTTTCAAATTAATAATAACGCAAAATCGAATGGAATAGTAATGCCATTAGAATTCCAATTCAAAAAAATTTTTGAGCACGATGACTTTATAGATAAAGTTTTAGAACATATGGAATTTATTCAAAGTAATGACAAATTCATAAATTATATTCAAGGGCCTTTGTGGAGACAGAAGAAAAGTTTATACCCCCATGAAATTGTTATTCCTTTTTATCTGTACGCAGATGATTTCGGCATCAATAATCCCCTTGGGTCAAAATCTAATAAGAACTCTATTTGCAATTTCTATTATAGTTTCGCATGTATTCCAAAAAAGTCATCAAAATTGGACGACATTTATTTAGCTTCGACGGTTAAATCTTCCGACGTAAAGACTTATGGAAATGATTGTTTTAAGCCTTTAGTTGATACTCTAGTAAAATTAGAAAAGGAAGGAATTTTAATTAAAACTAAAAATGGTACAAAAAAAATTCATTTTGTTATGGCATTATTTCTGGGGGATAATTTAGGGTTAAATTGTATACTCGGCTTTTCAAAATCCTTCTCAGCTAATTACTATTGCAGATTTTGCTTGATTAAAAAATCCGAAGCTCAAGTAGAATCAACTGAAAGGAATAATATCTTAAGAAATAGAATTAATTATAGAGAGTCGCTTGAACAGGGGTTAATGGCTGAAACGGGAGTGAGTACTACATGTATTTTCAATGATATACCATCGTTTCACTGTGTTGAAAACTACTCAGTGGATATCATGCATGATATTTTTGAGGGCGTTTGTCATTATGTAATTTGCGAGGCCTTGTTGTATTTTATCAAAACAATGAAATATTTTAGTTTAAATGATTTAAATGAAAGACTTAAATCGTTTAAATATTACCAGCATGACCGAGGAAATGAAAAATACTCTATAACTTTTCAAGAGTTAGATAATCATAAATTAAAAATGTCAGCGCACCAAATGATGTGCTTTTATCAGTACTTTACAGTTATGCTTGGTGAATTCATTATGAACCAGGACCCAGTGTGGATCTTCATTTTAGATTTTTTTGAAATTATTGATGAAATATTGTGTTATGATGTATCACAATCACTTATAAATCGGTTAAAAGTAAAAATACAAAATTTTAATAAAAACTATCAATTAATATTCAAACAACATCTAACGCCTAAGTTCCATTTTCTTGTACATTATCCCACAATTATCGAACAATGTGGCCCCCTTCGTCAATTGTGGAATTTTAAGTATGAGGGTAAACACAAAAAGTTCAAAATTTATTCCCATGTTATTACTTCGAGGAAGAATGTTTCTAAAACCTTTTCATACAAACAACAATTGGCATTCGCAAATATATTACTTGACCCACATTTGAAAGAAGATATTGTTTTAAAAATGCCATTTCGGGATAAAAATGTAATACAAATGGTTTCTAAAACAATTAAAATTGATATGAATAACTTATCTCTTTACTCTCAGGCAGTAATTTGGGGCTATAAGTACTCAACAGAACAAATTGTAGCAACATTTTCTGGAGACTTTAAATTTTTTGAAATATGTTTAATTATAAACCCTAAAAATAAAGAATTACTTTTTTGTTGCAAGCAAATTTGTACTGAATATAATACACACTTTGCAGCTTTTGAGTATGAATCAACATCAACTGAATACACCATAATTTACCTAAAAGATATCGTTGGACCACCAATTGAAAAACTTTTTACCTCACAAAGAAAGACATTTTTGAGACCTAAAGAATTTTATAAAGCATTAATTAAAGACAAAATTTTTGAAATCACATCCGAAATGGACTCTGATTATGATTTAAGCTTACTTCTAACTAAATGGAATTTACAACACTTATTTGATCATTTTAAAAGTAAGTATTACGTTAATAATTCCAAATAATATAAAATTAACGTAACTAAATTTTAATGTTTATTTCCAGAGCACATGATAGATATCGATGTTCTAAAAATTTTGAAGACACATCATATAACAAAATTATTCGAAGATTTACCCATTGGCCAACAGGCAAAATTTGAATTTAATCTAGAAAAATGGAACAAACAATTTAACAGTTCAGAAATTTTGCCTGTCTGCCAACATATAACAACCACAGAACAAAAAATACCAACAGTGACGGAAATTTTAAGTAATACACGTAACGGAAAAGATATTCAAAATTATTATAATAATAATAAAACGTTGCACGATGAGCAGCGTAATTTACTAATTAACACAATAACAAAATATATTGAATCAAAAAACATCACTTGCTCATTATCTGATTGTATGGAAATCGAAAAACAGATATGTAATATTTTTCCTACAGAGAAATTGGTAAGAATACTTTCTTTATTTTCTTTAATACAAATAATTTAACTTTTTTATTTTAGGAATTTTATACCAATGGAAAACGGGGCAAAATATACAACAAATTAGCAAATTATAAGAGATTTTCTAAAAATGCTTTAAAAGTAGATGAACCTGAGGTGACGCAAGGATTGTCTGGTAAGTTTTAACATAATAATTTTCATTATTTTCATCACAAATATTTTAACAATATTTTTTTCTTTATTGCAGAAAGCGTAGAAGATTACACTTTAATAATAGAAGTTTTAAGATCTTCAAAAATAAAACAAGATGAATTTGATATTTATTGGCAGAAGTGTGCTCCGTTACGTTTCCAACAAATTACAAATTCTGAGAATACGTGTGAAATTTTTAAATTATGGCCAGAATACACAAAACCTTCTGGACACCTTCTGGTAAGTACCATGCAAAAACATTTAGTACTTTACTCATGTCTAGTTATTTAGTCTAGTACATAATCTATTCTTGTCAATAGTCTAGAGGTCTTATTCATAAACTTTTATCAAAGGTTTATAAATCAAAATTTCATACAAAATTTGTTCTATAAACCTTTGATCAATGTTTATGAATAAGGCAGTAGATATATACCCCCTTATTCATAAATAACATTGTATTTTATAAAAGGCTTATAAAACAAAATTCCTATACGAATTTTCATTTATAAACTGTTTATAAATTTAAAGTTTTTATGAATAAGGGGGGTAGTCTATAGCATAGCTTACAGTCTAGCATATAGTTTAGTCGATTTAAAATAATACATATACATACTAATTTTTTTCATTTTGTATTCGTTTTCAGATTGATATCGATTTCGTACTAAAATATCCAGTGGCGAAAAACTTTGAGGAACGTTGGCCATATTTTGCAGAAGATTTGTTATTTATTTTGAAGACAAGAATATCCTGCTCATTAATTTCCAAAAAATTACTGCAAACTGAACGTATCGATGAAGGTAAAAAACCGCATACATTTTCGTTATGGTTCCATCTAAATATTATTTATGTTTACAGATTCTAAAATGTTTACAATTTTGTGGTATTGTCATAATTTATTTCCTCCCCAACTCAAAATAAGCACAGATGAAAATGGAGCAAAATATAAGAAAAAGTTTACCATAGCTGATTCGCAAGAATCATTTGCTGTTGTTGCCAGTACAATGGATGAATTAGAGACAAAACTAAAATTATTAAAATTACAAGGCCGAAAAATTCAACCAAAGTTACTTGTGATTGGGGATACGTTGAAAGTAAAACAAATTTTTGTATATTTTGATAATTTAAGGTATCCTTTTGTTTCAACCCTTAAAGCATTTGATGTTCTATTTAAAATCTTTTTTGTTTTTAACCTGGAATATCCCAGTGAGTCCGAAATTTTTTACCACTTTATTCAATCCCTTTTCTATGATTTGCCTACAAGCAAAAAATTTATTAAATCAAATATAATTAAACATGAGATACTTAAGATGAAAAATTAGTATTTGTATTTATATACTATTTATAATTAATTTTCTTTTAAAACATTTACTTAATATTAGTAATGTATATAAAAAATATAAAAATATTTAATTTCTTCTTCTAAAATAGATTTATAAATATATACCTGAAATGTACAAAATGAAAAAATATATACTTTAATGTAATTATTCCTTTATTATATTTTCAAAGATTATTTTTTATTGTATACGAATTTATTTTAATATAAATACATACTTGTATTATTCAAAAACTGAAATTTTTATGTTTTTATAAATAAATAAATAAAAAAATATTTTGTCTTTCAATTTCAAATTATTTAATTAATTTAGAACTGCAAATCAATTAAATTTTTAATTGAATTAAACAATCTATTTGTTTGATATTTTTAAAAAATTTTAATTATTGTTTTAATTAATTCAATTAAAATTTTAATATTTTTAAATCACTAAATTCAATTATTTTTTTAATTGAATCAATTAACTTGTTTATTGATAAATGTTAAAAACTTTAATTAATATTTTAATTCGTCGAATTAAAATATTTATTGAAAAATTTTAAAAATTTTAATTAAATCTTTAATTGGTTCAATTACACATTTAATTGAAACTTGCATTTACATTTCAATTAAAAGTTCAATTAATCTTAAAAGAGGGCAAAACCTCAATCGTACAAAATCGTTGATTAATAATACAAATATTTTTGCTACCGGAATTTTTAAAAAAAAGTTGTTACTACCGAAGACTTTTTTAATTGAAATCGATTTCCTATTTTTTCTGTGTAGACTATAGACTAGACTATAGACTAGACTATAGACTAGACTATAGACTAGACTATAGACTAGACTATAGACTAGAATATAGACTAGACTATAGACTAGACTATAGACTAGACTATAGACTAGACTATAGACTAGACTATAGACTAGACTATAGACTAGACTATAGACTAGACTATAGATTAGACTATAGACTAGACCATCGCAAAAACCATAGCAGGATTTTTCTTTGCAACTACTAGATATTCTAATTGATAAGGTCGTGAAGATCTCTCAGGAGTTAGAAAAATATATTTCGTAGACATCAGAAAGCATTGTGAGCCACGTCCGCCAACAATAACAAATTATTTTTTTTTTTTTTTCGTTTTTGTTTAATATCAACAAAAAGTCGATATTCGAAAATCCATATGGTGTTAAAAATGTATATCCTAAACCGATTTGGAGAAGGTTGTTTCATCTTACAGGAATTCCTTCTGTGGCTTGGATGTAGAAAAGTCGCTTTGAAAATTTCTTTCAACAATTGCTAAAACGTTTCCTAACAGGCTAAACAAATCCTTTTGTTTTTAATTCAATTTTATTTAACAAAAATTCCTTATTTAAAGTTTTTTTCATAATTTCTTAAATTTCACTTAATTTATTTAATTTTTAGTTATTACATTCTATTTATTTAATTTTGTTTTTATTATTTCAGAGCCTGTTTTAAAACACTTTACAACTATTGGAAAAAATCAAAAACAGCCAAAAAGTAAACATTTGAATTTTGTGTTACAAATATTTAAAAATTACAAAAAGATTACATTTATAAAAATATTGAAACGAAATAAATTATTACAAATATATAATAGCAATTTTAAGTGCAAAAGAATCTAAAGAGGATTTAAAAAAACTAAAAATAGTGCATAAATGTATTGATAGCGGCTGCAAATTTCAAGATGACAAGGTATGCTTATAAATGTTAAAGTATTCTGATTTTCAGCAATTGAACCAAAATTTACAATATTTTATTTTAAATTTACATAATTGAACTTTTTTTATAATCTAGCAGTTGTTTATTTAGATTTGTCCAATTGTTTGTGAAATTTTTACAATTTCAAATAAACAAAAACTAAAAATTAAATGACTAAAAGTATATTGCAGTTTTGTGCATTTGACTAGAAAAACAAATAGACCTATAAATCTTAATTAAACCATGTTTTATTTAGAAATCACATACAAAATATTGGCAGTAACCCGCAGTTAGGTTTGTTAATAAATAGACTTGCATACAATTGGCTTTAATGCAAATGCGTTTTAAAGAACTTTAAAAAATTGCAAGATTATTTTATTAACAAATAAAATCAAGGTTTCATAAAAAATAAATAAATTTATGATTTAATGAGCTCTAAGACCTCTGCTAGAAATTATAGTTTAAAAAAATCGTCATCAATTATAAATAAACTACAACACGCAATGCAGTTTAAAAATTTGTAAAATTCGCCTACTAAATGCAGCTGAAAAAATTATAATATGATTAGAATTGTTTTTTTTTAATAAGAATAGTTTGTATATTTTTGTGAATATGTATATGAGACATGTATTCATGTGTAAAAATAATACTGTAAAATTTATATGATAAAAATATTACATGCTAAGATATACACATATTTAGCTGCACAATCATGCATAGATGCATACATACATACTTATGCATAAAGTTAACATGTCAAATAAGACTAATTTAGTTGTCATTTAGTTTATTTAATTAACAAAAACAAAAAACGACAACAACTGCAACAAAAACATTCCGTTGCAGGTGGTGGTGGCAGTGGCATTATTGTTGTTGCAATTAATGCAGTAGTTTTTGAATTTTTTTTAGTAATTGTTGTATTATTTGTTTATGGTGTGTCATTACACATACATACATACAACAACAACAAAATTTGAAATTTGATATGACAACTTGTCAAACTTTTAGATACAGGTGGGCCTTTTTACATTGGCTGTTTAAAACAGAGTTGGGTAGTGAGACAGCAATAAAGTTCTTACATGAAACTAAGGGCAATTTATTTTGTTGTAAAATACGCTGATTTCATTGAATCACCTTGTACCTAAAATAAAACAGACCTGGAACGAAACTAGAACTGAACTAAAAGTGAATTAAAACTGAGTTAGAACTGAACTAGAACTGAACTAGAACTGAACTAGAACTGAACTAGACTGAATAGAACTAACTGAACTGAACTAGAACGAACTAGAACTGAACTAGAACTGAACTAGAACTGAACTAGAACTGAACTAGAACTGAACTAGAACTGAACTAGAACTGAACTAGAACTGAACTAGAACTGAACTAGAACTGAACTAGAACTGAACTAGAACTGAACTAGAACTGAACTAGAACTGAACTAGAACTGAACTAGAACTGAACTAGAACTGAACTAGAACTGAACTAGAACTGACTAGAACTGAACTAGAACTGAACTAGAACTGAACTAGAACTGAACTAGAACTGAACTAGAACTGAACTAGAACTGAACTAGAACTGAACTAGAACTGAACTAGAACTGAACTAGAACTGAACTAGAACTGAACTAGAACTGAACTAGAACTGAACTAGAACTGAACTAGAACTGAACTAGAACTGAACTAGAACTGAACTAGAACTGAACTAGAACTGAACTAGAACTGAACTAGAACTGAACTAGAACTGAACTAGAACTGAACTAGAACTGAACTAGAACTGAACTAGAACTGAACTAGAACTGAACTAGAACTGAACTAGAACTGAACTATAACTGAACTAGAACTGAACTAGAACTGAACTAGAACTGAACTAGAACTGAACTAGAACTGAACTAGAACTGAACTAGAACTGAACTAGAACTGAACTAGAACTGAACTAGAACTGAACTAGAACTGAACTAGAACTGAACTAGAACTGAACTAGAACTGAACTAGAACTGAACTAGAACTGAACTAGAACTGAACTAGAACTGAACTAGAACTGAACTAGAACTGAACTAGAACTGAACTAGAACTGAACTAGAACTGAACTAGAACTGAACTAGAACTGAACTAGAACTGAACTAGAACTGAACTAGAACTGAACTAGAACTGAACTAGAACTGAACTGGAACTGAACTAGAACTGAACTAGAACTGAACTAGAACTGAACTAGAACTGAACTAGAACTGAACTAGAACTGAACTAGAACTGAACTAGAACTGAATTAGAACTAAACTAGAACTAAACTAGAACTGAACTAGAACTGAACTAGAACTGAACTAGAACTGAACTAGAACTGAACTAGAACTGAACTAGAACTGAACTAGAACTGAACTAGAACTGAACTAGAACTGAACTAGAACTGAACTAGAACTGAACTAGAACTGAACTAGAACTGAACTAGAACTGAACTAGAACTGAACTAGAACTGAACTAGAACTGAACTAGAACTGAACTAGAACTGAACTAGAACTGAACTAGAACTGAACTAGAACTGAACTAGAACTGAACTAGAACTGAACTAGAACTGAACTAGAACTGAACTAGAACTGAACTAGAACTGAACTAGAACTGAACTAGACTGAACTAGAACTGAACTAGAACTGAACTAGAACTGAACTAGAACTGAACTAGAACTGAACTAGAACTGAACTAGAACGACTAGAACTGAACTAGAACTGAACTAGAACTGAACTAGAACTGAACTAGAACTGAACTAGAACTGAACTAGAACTGAACTAGAACTGAACTAGAACTGAACTAGAACTGAACTAGAACTGAACTAGAACTGAACTAGAACTGAACTAGAACTGAACTAGAACTGAACTAGAACTGAACTAGAACTGAACTAGAACTGAACTAGAACTGAACTAGAACTGAACTAGAACTGAACTAGAACTGAACTAGAACTGAACTAGAACTGAACTAGAACTGAACTAGAACTGAACTAGAACTGAACTAGAACTGAACTAGAACTGAACTAGAACTGAACTAGAACTGAACTAGAACTGAACTAGAACTGAACTAGAACTGAACTAGAACTGAACTAGAACTGAACTAGAACTGAACTAGAACTGAACTAGAACTGAACTAGAACTGAACTAGAACTGAACTAGAACTGAACTAGAACTGAACTAGAACTGAACTAGAACTGAACTAGAACTGAACTAGAACTGAACTAGAACTGAACTAGAACTGAACTAGAACTGAACTAGAACTGAACTAGAACTGAACTAGAACTGAACTAGAACTGAACTAGAACTGAACTAGAACTGAACTAGAACTGAACTAGAACTGAACTAGAACTGAACTAGAACTGAACTAGAACTGAACTAGAACTGAA